AAACGAATCGACTTGCTCTCGGGTGATTTCCGATAGTAACGAGAGAAAAGCGGGGTTCGTGGCAGGACTAGGGTGAGTAGGTGTGGGGGGGAAAAGATACTCGGCTCCAACCGACGAGACGAAGGCCACGATTTCAACGCCATGGGCCAGCGACAGGTATTTTTCTGCGATAGCACCCGCTGCTACTCTGCCTGTACGAGAGAGTCAGCATCACATCTTCCACCTACCACCTGAAGCCGCAAAACAGGATCAGGGGGATCACCAAACATACCGATCGTCTCCCTTGCACTGCTCCTCCCTCCTCCGCTACTTGCCTTAACCCCATACTTCTCCAGGTAGGTGAAATCTGCATGGCTCGGCCTGGGAAACATATCCATCGTGCCGCTCCCATAGTCTTTGGGTCTCTGGTCTTCATTCCGCACCATCAACAGAATCGGGGTGCCGAGAGTAATCCCGAACTCCGTGCCCGAATGAATCTCCACACGATCTTTCTCATTTCGCGGCGTGGTAAGGGCTGACTGTCCCGGACGACGCCTAGTCATCTGGGGTTGTATGTCCGACTCTGTGAGTTGCAGACCAGGAGGAACACCGTCAACGATACATCCTACAGACCGGCAATGAGATTCGCCATAGGTGGTCACCCGAAAGTAGTGGCCCCAGGTTGACATGATCGATTGACAGGGGTTTTAGGAGCTGCGTGGATTTGACAAAAGTTATCCCTGCCGTCCACTCGTGCGAGAAGACTTTTCGTCGGTGCGTATACTGAGCGTTGTGGAGTAGTTGATAAAGTGGTGACTCAGAGTCAAGAGCAAATGCAGCTGGGGATCGTGCAGAATCGAGGTAAAGGAGATGCTATTACAGCTCGTCGTTGACTTTCGAGCGTTCACGAATTTCTAAAGGCAACGCTGCAAATTTCTAGAGTCGGAAGATTGTCATGCGACAAGTATTACCTCCATGATCTCTGGCCATGAAGTGTTTGAAGAAAATTCCCAAAAGTATGACCATGAGGGGAAGGTAAGCCGAGAACCTCGCAGCCTTGCGACTAAAAGTTCAGCCTCGTGCAGAGTCGGGCGAACAGAGTCGACGCCTAGGAAATTCACAGTCATTCCGCAAATCGAGGTGAGCAATCAGTGGCACTGTGCTTCACTGGTAGTCACTGGTAGTTCAGTACCTGCGTAGAATGTATTCGTTATAGAACCTGAAAAGACCCTCATCAATGGTAGGATGTCGCGTATTTCTAGAAACCCCAGCACTTTGTTTTCGTCTCCGGAGACAATTTTTGATATTCATTGCCCCGATTTCGCCTTTTATCATTTCATGCTTCTTCATGGCTTTGATGCCGGTATTGTGACTTTTGCGCCGACGTTGACAGGGTCCGTGGGCCCTCACAAAGTCCTCTGCTTTGAAAGCCATAACGTTCAGCAGAGGCTAGTAGTCGTCGCCTCGGCTAACAACCTCTTTGACCGTGGGCCTCAGCAGAATGGTGTGCTCGAATTGAGCGGTATAGCTGCCTTTGGTGTCCACTAGCGGTGGATATGCTTCCACAATGCCCGAGCTGACTAAATTATTGAGGCCGAGTAAATACTTCTCCTGACCGAGCCTGTCCAAGTATCGTCGGCAGAAGGGGATAGTCCCAAAATTCTTCTTGATGACATTCAGCAAGTTTCTTGCGGATTGGACGCGCAAGGGCACGTTTGGCGCATCAGAGCGGAGGGCATAGTGCGAGACTTCCAGGTCATCAGTCACATATCCCCGCCCGGTCGATCCAAAAGTTTCGATCGCGAAGATTTCGCCCTCCTCCATCTTTGTTTGGTCATGGCTCTTGACAATGGGAACGGACTTGCCACCGTGGATGCTGTGTTGGACAATGTCATGGCCGTTCAGATTTCGAATAGACTTGACAGGGTACGTCTTTCCATCGAGTTCGACCTCATACGATTCCATGACTTCCTGGATTGCACCACCAATGTCACCAACACGTACATCGATGCCGGCTTCCCGCACACCAGTGTTCGTGGCATCCTTGACCGCAGCGAGAAGGTTGTCGTATTTGGGATCAAACGCCACGGTGAAAGCAGAATCGACGATTCTGCCATTGACATGAACACCAAAATCGACTTTCATAACGTCCTGCTCCCCCAGAATCCATTTATTTCCTGCATTGGGAGTGTAGTGTGCCGCAATGTGATTGATGCTCAATCCTGTCGGAAACCCTACGCCACCTTTGATGTTGTCACCCTCTTCCAGTCCCCAGTGTTCGGTTAAAGCGCGAGTGCCGTTTTCGATCCCCTCCGCAATCTCTGTCAAGGACATTCCTGGTTTGATGTTTGCCTTCGCCCATTTCCGGACTTGGCGATGTACTTCTGCACCTTTGCGGTATTCCTGGAGGAAATCGTTGTTCATGCGATCGAGATGACGCTTTTCCTCGTTTGTGGTGCGGTATGCATTGTGATCTTTGTATTCCACTTCCTGCCCGACTGGGTAGGTGTTGTTAGGGAAGAGATCTTTGAGGGGTACTCGAGGTGGATCAGATTGGACTTTGGCTGTGGCCTTCTTCTTCTTTGGCTTCTTCTTCTTCTTCTTTTTGGCGGCGCCGCTGGCTGTGTTACCACTGGCACCTCCGGCGGTGGCGGCGGCATCGTCGTCCTTGTCATCGTCTGAGTCGTCCTGATCCGACAAATGACCATTGACGCCGTTGGTACCATTTGTCTGTGAGTTGGTCTTCGTGGAGGCAGTGCCGTTCAAAGCGAGCTTCGAGAGCTCGTCGGCCGTTTTGGCCGCCATATTAACTGGAACGAGTATGGTCGTACTGGAGTGCAAAAAGTCGAAAGAAATACACAAGCCCTGAAATAATGGAGTGACAAAAAATGGGCCGCGAGGGCCGCAGGCATCGATCGAGTGGCACCGGATGAACTGCGGCCAAATGATTCCCAAGTCGCCCACTCCTCGTCGCCCCGAAATTGAAAGACGTCACGCACGCCTATCAAGCAATCGGTTCATTTTCTCTCGTGGCGTTTGCAATATATTCGTCTCACAGCTCTCTCGCTATTCCGACTCTCAATGCTTCAAGCATGAGGCATGATCGTTCGTTCGGTGCCGGTGTCTACGTATTTCGGCCTCGGTGTCCCCTCTTATCATGCGTATCACGCCCTGAAATCTTCTTTCCCCCGAGCTCCCCGAGGGGCACAAGGTCGACGTTCCTTCTCACACTTTCCATACCTCCAGCAAGCCGCCAGTAACACATCTGCAAACCATTACGATGTCCTCAGACTTCCTATGCAGGCCACGCCGGCCGAGCTCAAAAAGCAATTCTATGTCCTGTCCAAGGAGACACACCCTGACGTGAACAAAAGCGACCCCAAGGCTTCGGAGCGCTTCGCGCAGATAAGCGAGAGTTACTCTGTTTTGGCAGATCCTGAGAAGCGAAAGAGGTATGACCGTGATATCATGAAGGCCCATCATCCCCACCATCGCGGTCACAGTAGTCATGGCCACCGATCTCAGGGAGGGACCTACGCGGGCCACAGACCGGCCAGTGGTCTGAGCAAGCGGCGAAGCGTTTTCAAAGGCCCACCGCCATCGTTCTACGCGCATGGAAGCCCTTCATCGCAGACTCAACAGAGAGCCGATGCGCGCCCGCAGGGCCAACATGCCGCAGGAGAGCAATACACGGCGGGTACTTTCAACGCGGGCGCATTTTCAGACGGAGGCCCAGCCTTTGATGCTCGGCCAACCTTCAAGACACAGACGCACGAAGACTACCGCCGCGCGAATCGCCGGGCAGCGGAACTCGCGGCAGCACAGGCTTCGGTGGAGGAGGACAACTTCTGGGCCCGCTTCATTGTGGTGTCGGGGATTATCGTTTTGGGTGTCTCAGTCGGCACATTGATATTACGCATGGCCAACACACCTCGAGGAGGCGGGCTTGTTCGAGGGGACGGCAGTCGAAGGGACGGAGCGAGGAATGAATGGACGAAAGGCTAGAAAGTCGTCGCCGTCCAATGCGAACCCTTGGACTTCGCAAATTATCATTGTCGCACAGCCTGCAAACGAAGCAGAAGCATACTTACGCCCTGTCGGCACCTCCAATTACAAATTGGAATTTCGTGACCCCCATCATTCGCGGTCGGATCCATTGCTATGCCCCTGTGAAATGGGAATGGTACGCATGCTACACTGCGCAGGCAGAACTCCCACCCCCCTGGAGAGGAAGGGGATATCACATGGACACCAAAACGAGAAGATTACCAGAGACGAAGAAACCCGGGGCCGGATGGGATGGGATGTACAGTAGGGAGCAGTAGACGTGGTGGGACTGGGAACCACCGGCTACGACGACTTTTGGTGTATGAGTAAATGAGTTAGAGTTAGATGTTGAAGTCGAGGTCAATTTCTTGTTCGAAGAATATTTGGATATACATGCACCTCAAGAACATACAGAATATACTTGCCTCGGTATGCCTATGTACAAGGTACACTTACTGAACCATTGCTGGCTAGAGTGTGCGCGCCCCGGTTCGAGGCTGATTATACTGCAAGACGGACAGGTTGGATCAGATCGATTCAGATCAGATCAAATTTACTCTGCAGAAGTGGGGCTTCTTGCCAATGCCGAACCAAACAAGTTGTGCAGCGATAAATCAAGATGGGAATTTGGTTTCTTGCTCGCTCTATGCAAAAGTTTTCTCTTACTCCTTGGCCATCGCAACTCATCTCATCTGCTTCTGTACAAAGAGGCACACACCCCTGCCCTTAGATCTCGTGCTCCAAGTTGGTTCAGGGGAGGAGGGATCACCTCCAACCAAACAACCAACCAGTCAACCACCCACCCCGCTTTTCTCTTTCCCCCCAAAGTAAGAGAAGAATAACACACATTTTCTCACCCGTGGCGGTGTCTATCCTGGAGGAATGTCACCCGCCCCACGCTCTCTCACGTCGACCACATCCCACACTCATCCTGGTCACCCTCGCTACTTTTCTGAGAAATTGACAAACGGAGTTTATCCCTCAAAGGTGAAGCTTGCTCCAACCTTGTGCGCGGCCTGGTTGAGGTTCTGCGTATCCAAAGAGGCGCCCAATCCAAGGGTCACGCCGGTGCCGAGCTTGACGTTGTACGCCAGAGCAGCGATACCGCGGTCGTTGATTTTGGCCTAAAAACGGTGTGAGCAGCAGGGAAGGTGATGTGGCTTAAATGTGTATGTTTAGGACAGGAGTCGGATGACGTACCTTCGCAAAGGAGCTGGGATCGAGCTTGTACTTTGTCGCAACCTCCAAGCCGACATTGCTTCCTTGCGTGCTATCCCAGGTAGCCTTGGCACCTGCCTCGACCTCAGTGTTGACCTTGTGATAGTAGCTCGCGCTGAAGACGGTCAAGTTATTCGTGGCCGTCAACGCAGCGGCATAAGAGCCCTGCGAGTATCCTGCCGCAAGGGCGTATTTTGTGATGGCAGCCTTGCCCACATCATACCCTCCCTCGGCACCAATCAAGAAACCTTCGTGGCCCAAAGTAACATCGAACGAGGCGGTGGGGCCCTTGAACACATCTGTGAAGAGGCGGGTGTGGATGTTGGGCTGCTTGTAGAAAAGGTTGAGCTTGCCGCCGTAGGTGGCTTTCGCGGGGAGGTAGTTTGTCAGGACCTCGGCCTTCAGACCTTTAGTGATGTTGTCTTCCAGTTCGAGCTTGGTGTCGAGGCTGTTGGAGGTGGTCCAGGTTTGAGTCAGGGTGAGGCCTGCGTTCATGGATATGAGTCAGTCCAGAGGCTTTTGAGATGCAAATGCGCGGATTGCTCCCAAGAGCAGAGGAAACGCACCAGTTGCCTTGTCGGTGTATTTCCCTTCAATCTTTCCGCTGCCGTTAACATGTGATATTCTCAAGCTGTCTCTTGTTATCATAGTGCTCACCGAGCCAGAGATAGGTCCATCGTGCGCGGATTTGCCCTTGACGTTGAAACTGCAAGAGAACAAGACGGATTAGAACCCCGGTGGGCCGTGGTCTCCCGCTTCCCGAGAGAAGGGATGTTCAAAAGGTTTGGGTCTTACACAACGCCATTCGGTGCCTTGGACTTGACCTCGAGATTGGCAGCGGTGGTGTGGTAGAAGTCCTTGTTGAGGAGCTGTTCGAGTAGTCAGCAAAGAAGGCCACAGTTGGGTTCGGAGAGGAGGGGGTCTGAGACGGATGGATGCTCACATCGTTGGCGGGCTTAGCGATGTCGCTAAAGGGGACGGGAATTCCAGGCATAGTGGCGAGGGACGAGCGAACGAGGGAGAAGTTGAGATTTGAGAGTAGTGGAGGGAGTGTAGAAAGGATGTGAGAGAATACTGAGACACGGAGACAGGGAGAAGCAGAGATGTATGAGGTAGACGGCAAAACAGTCAATGGAGCTCAAGAAAAAGGCTCGGAGATGCAGTTTCGCAAAAGCTGATTCAACCAATCACAAGCGAAATTGGAAGAAGGTGACCGGCTGCTCGGCAGAGTTGCCCGTGTCGCTCAATCTCGCCCAAGCTGCCCTTTTAATCCCCACTTCTTGATTACCATCAGTTTCTTTTCATGGGGGATTGTATTTGGGATTTGCACTCTCTACCAAGTATTATTGCTAGCGGGAACCATAGCATGCTGGACAGGCTATGGCTCAGACGCCAAACGTGTTTGCTTTTTCACAGCTAGATCCAGCTCAAAGATATTGCTGTTCATGGCTGGGCCAGAGACGAGACAGCGCATACAGTCCTCCCACTGCTATGCCACCATGAATCCATAAATCAACATCAAGAGGCTGCTTTCACAATGTCCTCTCCTTGCTAAAACGCCTGCCCATGCTGATATCTTTCGTTCCCTGTACATTTGCCAGCGCGTATCACGAGCCAGCTTCGTCATCATATCTGGCAAGATGGGTTTCAATTGCTCGTCCGCTAGGATCTGACTGCTTCGACCAGGTTGGCGTCCATCGCATCACAGTCGAAGCACAGTATGGCGGGAAGTGCTCATCAAACATCAGACGATACCAATAAGCCTCCTTGCTGGTCGGGATGTCGTCACCCCATTCCGGCTTGGGGTTGGCCATCATCTCATCCGTCACATTGATCTCGGCCGTGTCTTTCAAAGCATCTATCCAGCCATAACCCACGCCATCGCTGAATTGCTCCTTCTGGCGCCACAAAATGTGCTCCGGTAAGTATGGTTGGACATCGGGCTCGTCGGTGGTGTCGAAAGCCTTGCGCAGAATATATTTCTCTATTCTGTCCTTGGTGATCATCTTCTCGGCCGGGTCGATATTCATGGCAACTTCTAGGAATTGCTTGTCTAGGAACGGCACACGAGCTTCGACGCCCCACGCCGAGGTGGATTTGTTGGCACGGAGACAGTCGGCCAAATGCAGATTCTTGATTCTGCGGACAGTCTCTTTGTGGAACTCCTCCTTGCTCGGAGCGGCATGGAAGTAGAGATACCCGCCAAAAATCTCATCGCTGCCCTCACCGCTCAGAACCATCTTGACACCCAGGGCCTTGATCTTCCGAGAGAGGAGGTACATGGGCGTGGACGCGCGGACCGTGGTAACGTCATAAGTCTCGAGGTGATAGATGACGTCTGATAGGGCATCCAGTCCTTCTTGGATTGTGAATGTGAAGTCGTGGTGTTTGGTGCCCAGGAATTTGGCGACTTCGATGGCCGCTTTGGTATCAGGCGCATCGGGGAGACCGATGGAGAAGGAGTGCAGTTGGGGGAGGAATGTGACTGTTGACAACTCGTCGTCATCGTCGATGCCCACCAGCCTGCTGCCTGTCTTCGGGGTCCTGTACCCGTTGACTTCACCATTGACCTCCCCGTTGACGACACCGTTGGCCTGACGCCTGGCGAGCGCTTGTTGATGAAGGGACTCCCTCTGCGCAATCGAAGCCACCAGACTCGAGTCAAGCCCACCGGACAGGAGGACACCGTAAGGCACCTCAGCCATGAGACGCTTGAGCACAGATTTTTCCAAGGTCTTCCTGATCAACTTGTAGTCGATGGGCTCGGATGGAACTCGGTCCGGATCCCACCACGACGGTTCGAAATATCGGGTGATCTTGTCGGTTTTGGAGTCATAAATGTGGCCCGGGGGAAATGAAATAATGTTGTCGCACACCGTGGCCAGGGCTTTCAGCTCGGAAGCGAAATAGACAGCCCCGGGTGTTTGGCTGGACCGACCAAGGTAGAAGGACGTGATACCGATGGGATCCCGAGCAGCGACCGTGCGGTCTTGTTCCTTGTCATAGAGCACGAAGGAAAACATGCCGTCCAGCTGTTTGGGAGCGTCTGTGTCATACTGCTGGTAGAGAGGGATGATGACCTCGCAGTCACTGTGGGTCTTGAAGCTATAGGGAACGGTCAAGTGCTTGCGCAGGATTCGGTGGTTGTAGATTTCGCCGTTGACGGCCAGCGCAATTGTGCCCTCATCGTTGACCAGAGGCTGCGCCCCGCTGTCCACTCCCACTATACTGAGACGCTCATGGCAGAGGATGGTGTTGTTTCCCGTCCAGTTCCCTGACCAGTCAGGACCGCGGTGCCGCAGGCATTTGACACACTGGAGGGCAGTGGTCTTGAAGGTTGCTATCGACGGATGACTGTGCGCGCAAAAGAGTCAGAGATCGTAGAGCAAGATTAGCAGAACTGAGGACACGGGAGAGGAGCCAGAAAAAGCAAGACGCCGATCGCGGAGCTAGAACCCAGGGAAATTTCCAGCCTCACTGCAGGAACCAGGACTCTCTTGATTGCTCCCAGGGAACGAGGGGGATGCGCAGACTCACCCGTGGCAGGCAAAAATACCACACATGACTGCCCACGATGCCCACGCTGCTTGCCCACGAGCGTCTGTTTGCTGGTTTGGCCTTTTGCAATGAGAGGGTGTGAAATGTTATGCAAGATGGGAGAAAAGTGTGGCGGCGTGGGCGTGGGACGAAATAAAAAGGACTGTTTTTGTTCCACGCTTCCAAAGTCCCCAAATTTTTGTTCGAAGGCAAAAAAAGGTCGGGAGCGTGGGATGACTTTGGGATGACTCAAGTCAACTCTCAATCGATAATTTTGATGGCTGAAAATGTTCCGGCCACTGGCTTCACTGGAGACTTGAACGGGCTCGACGGGAACGCCGCTGACTTTTTTGGGGGGCGTTTTCGGGGGGAAGGAGGATGGGATGCAGGATGTAATCGCAGCTGACCTTGATGTTCTTTTTTTTGTTGACGAGGATTCCAATGTCGTTTGTGGTCGTTGTCACTTAGAACTTCCTCAAGTCACAACACCGCGTGCAAGTATGTATTGGATCTTGTTTGGTTAGAGGGCGCAATGTGTTGAATCAGCCCACACTTTTTCCCACACACGAAAATAAAAAAAATAACGAGCCCACCCTGCTGCTGGACTGACCACAACCGGGATATTCTCTTTCTTCTCTATCTTATTTACTACACTTCGTTCATTCCTCGGATTAAATAGATAAGAGAAGGGGGCTCTTGCGGATCTCAAGCCGTTCTTAAGTAATAACAAGGTGAACCCGCCCTATGTGGCCCCGTCTCCCTCCGTCTCTCCCCCCTCCCTCTTGCCTCTCTCACTCTCGCCTTCTCTATATTTGAACTTGTCACGGTTATTCCACCCTGCGTCTGACCCCATCCCGTACTAAACTCAGGATCGGGCTATGGAAATTTGCGTGCCTGGGGAGGGAGGGGGGTGGTCGATGTTCCCCGAGGAAAGAGGAAGCCCGATGTTCGGCACGCGACCTCTTCTTATTACGAGTATCACTTAAAAAGCTGAAGATGAGTGGCTCCAGGGGAGTTTCTGTGGCACATGCTGGTCCTAGAATTCATGCCTAATCATGAATGCAGATATCCGGAATCCCCGCACTTTTTCGCTCTGGTATACCTTAGTAGGTATCTAGTAGTATCTAAACAGAAGGATAGCTCTCCGATGCCTAACTTGCCCTTCACCACGCCCATCACCCACCCCTCCTGCTTGGCTGTGCACCCCCACGCTTAGGCCTTTTGGGTAAAGGCTGTGGTGGCCCAGAAGAAGAGTTGCCCGTGCCCACAATCTCCGTAGGCGAGATCGACCACTCCCTCATACCCATTTGTCCCTAGGCCAGTTTCCACAGAAGAAAAATGTACCGGTAAGAGGAAGAGGCTGGAGGGGCTGGAGGGGCTGAAGGGGCTGAAGGGCTGGCGGCAAAACAGTAAATCGCTCATGTAGGTATCAGATCATACTCTGTACATCAAGACGAAGGAGAACACCACCGCAGCCACGTGGAGTGCATATTAGATACGTGATACCCCTAGCACCCTGGCACCCTAGCAACTTAGCTAGCTCATGCTACTCTTCGACAACTCCTTGGACGCCTATCAAAAAGAAATGCCAGCTGCCCAATGTTCCCATTTCCCCCCTTACCCCAAATCTCTCTACAAGATCCCCCGCCCTCCCCCGTGAACAGGTTATCTGGAGTGGAAATGCCTACTGCAGAACGCCGCGCTCAGAATCCACACACTAGTCTCGCATCACCCCGCTGTTTGAGCTTTGTGACAGCACATCATCCTGTCGCTAATATGCTCGTCGCAAAACCATCTCAGGTCTGTGCCCGACCATGTCCAACGCCACGAATCTCAGGGTGCGGGGTTGTCCTTGACAATGCTCTTGACTTTCTTCTCGTATGCGGGCCGATCCTTTTTGTAGAGATTGTATGCATCAGCCTGCGCTGGCGAGTCGGGATTGGGGTCGTTTAGCAGGTCTTGGATGCCCAAAAGAATTTGCTTGATCGTGATTGCTGGCTTCCAGCCCTCCTCTTCGTTTAGGATCGAGAGACACACCGTGCCCGAGGGATAGACGTTGGGGTGGAACAGAGGGGGGACAAATCTGCCTAAAAGGGCTCAGTCGTGTGCTTCCAACCAGCGCGCAAAGTCATCTTCAACTCACATCGGGGTGGCTTCGTAGGGTATTCATCCGGAAAGGCGAGAGTCAACTTGAACAGGCCCCCCTCCCAGATTGTCCTCTCCTTCCCTGGTATCCCAACTTCCCACATCTTGAGATCAACCACACCATTCGCATGTCGGACAGGTTTTGCATAGAAACCGAAAGGATGATCGCGGCGCCATTGTTTTCTGGGAGCAGGGGTTAGTAAAGTTGAAGGTGAGGCAACGTTTGTTTTGCGCAGCCCACCTTTCCTCTTGAAGACGGTTGATACAGAGCGACATGATGAATGACCAGGCCGAAGGGTGTCAGAAAGTGATAGAGAGCAGCGGAATCTCTCAGTCAGATAGAAATGAAGAGGAGGACTTTATGTGTTTGGCACTGAAGTTTGCTTGAGTCCTGTCAAAGAGCGCAAGGCACAGAAGAACAAGAACTTTTGTTGTCGGACAAGAGGCGGGCAAGGATCAGGTGGGTGGCACGTGGTAAGGCTGAGGCAATGGCAAGATCGGCGGAAGATTTCCGGCAGCCGGTTCTGTTAGGAGAAGGTATAGCGAGCAGATTTCGCTTGTACTTACTTCTTTTAGTAACCGCAGCCTTGCCACTTATCACCGAACACTGAAGACAGACAGAGACAAGGCTAAGATGGGTATCATTCGTCTGAAAATCATCACAACGGTCAAGTCTTCGGTCTTTCCGCTGGCTCTATATAGATGTTATGGGCCGTTCCGGATCTTCTGCAACCGCACCAGTATCTCCATTTGGTCGACCCATTTCTCGGCAAAAACTGTTTCTGTAAATCGTTTCGTGCTTGCACGCCCTCTTAATCTCATCGCGAGTCGTTCCTGCCTGCTCATCCCAGTCACTTTGGCAAAAGCAGCAGCAAACTCATCCTCTGTCTCGGCATGGAAACCAATGGGCTGACCCTCGAATGGAACCACGATGTCGAGCTTAGGCCCACCGCTGTTGTGTACCACGGGAATCAGTCCCGCTGCTAGTCCTTCCACATTGCCAATCCCGAAATGTTCTGCGTACATGCCGTTTGTACCAATACTCGACCTCCGAAGATACTCCAGGATGACTGAGAAGGGAGCATCACAGATAAAGGTAGTGGCGTCCTTGATCCTTAGTTCGTGTGCTTCAAGTCGGAGGTTATAAATGTGCTTCTCGTCCGGTGTATTGCTCCGAACCGACCCAATGAGAACCAATCTGGGTTTCTCCTTTGCTGCGTGGTAGAATTTGGCAAAGGAACGAAGAATCAAGGAATGGTTCTTCTCGGGTCGAAATTGAGCAATGTAGAGGACAATATTTTCCCGTTGTTTCTCACTCTCCTCAGTCAACGGGATTCGTGCTTCCAGCTCTTCGACGGGACAAGGCGGATATACTATGGCGGCGAAGGAGGAGGACGCTCGTTTCGGTTTCCAAAGCTGGCGTATGTGGCCTTGTGTCCAAGTCGAATTACACATGACCACATCGATCTGCCTCCCGACAAAGCCGTAGAGCCATGCAAATGCACGCCAATAATACTTCTTTCCTCTACCCTTCAACCCCTTCCCAGCACCGGCGTGGATCCCCATTTGGCCTGTCGTGTCCTCCAGGCTATCCAGCATGTCGGTGGAAATGGTCGGATAATGTACATATGCCGCATTGGGCACGTTGGGGAAGAGGTATTTGCAGAGAGCGACTGCAAATGCGTAACCCATGGTATCGATGAATATGTCAGGCACAAGCAGTTGAAAGGCGTCATAAGCCAGAACCACCGAGCCGAGTGACTGACCCAAAAGTGTAAAGTGAGGATAAGTGCTCGCAAGAACAAAACGACGCCTCGAAAGGTACAGAAAAACGAGGGAGTGTTCTTGAAGGGTGATGCCAAAGCGGGTTCTAACTGTTGCTACCACCAACGATCGGTCAATGTCGTGGTCACCGGTGTAAACTGCGCAAATGGCGTTGGGCCATCGTCGCTGAGTTGCGGCAATGGCTGCCCACAACACTCTCTCACCGCCACCACCAGCATTGCTACTCAAAGTCAGAAAAATGGCCCATACAACGAAGGGGAAACTTACCAAAAGGGATGAAAGAAGCCAATCACTCCGGCCCATTCATCCTTGAGAGGCTTGCCATTCTCAGCGCTGCCCTCTTTCTCGATCTTCTCCCACCCATCTTCGGCTTCCTGTGACGCAGGTTGATTCTCCGATACCGCGGCTCTCTCCCGCCTGACCCTTTCGAGGATCGCGGTCTTTCGATCCCTAGTCTGTGCACGAAGATGCCAACCAAGCGCGCGCAGTGATAGCTGTATCAGCAAGAGGAATACGAGGGGCACAAGCGGTACTACCGCCAGGATTGCCACTGCGCTCGATGAGGCGGACATTGCCAATGCTGCAGTAGACAACAGTAGTCACCGAGACGCATGCTTCCAAGATCGTTGGCTGAGCGAGAAGGAGGACAATTTAGCTACAGGGGTAAGACACGAATAAACAGGCTGAAATGAGCAATGAGCATTGGGCAATAATAATAATACTATCAGCTGCGGCTCCAGGGCCTGGCGACCAGTGTGGCCTCTTCTTCCACCAACCAACAATGACGCAGCCTCGGGCCACGCGCCTGTTTCCCACCCTTGCCATCCCCGCCGCTATTCGTGGGCGCGTGTCGACGGGTCACTCGTTTGTTTCATGCTTTCGCTGCACCACGAGACCAGTTTCCATATGCTCCCTCCAAGACCTAGCTAACACACACTGAGCAATGCTCTGCCGCAGGGCCCTTCGACGTTGGGCCGAGTTGGAACGCCAATGCTACAGGCACAATTGCCTCGATGCCCGGTCGCTCTCATGTTCCTTTCACTCGTCCCATCCTAAACCCTTCGCGGCCGAATGCCTCCAGCTCTCCGGAACCATCTTTCAAGAGGTTCACACATTCACCGGTCTACCATGGTACCTGTCGATCCCGTTGACCGCTTCCCTCCTTCGGATGACCTGGATTCCAGTCCAGCTGTTGACACACCGAAGTCGGAAACGGAGAGAAAGCGCCATGCACCTCGCAACTGCTTGGCGCATAGCATATCAAGACACGGCGAGGATAAAATATCCCGCGGGAAGGGAAGCAGACGCCAAAAGAGCTGAGAGCTGGGTGGCGAGCCAGCTCAAAGCCCGAAAAAAGGCCATTCAAAAGCACATCCCATATCTACCAATATGGGTGGAACCAGTACTTGCGCTATCATTCATACCTGTATGGGTATTCAGTATGGACTGCATACGGCGCATGGCGGGCGACAAACGGACCGTGACGTCGATGTTCTTCAGATCTGACGGCGGTACCGTGGATCCAAACATTGTGCCCGCGGAACCAGGCTTTCAGACTGAAAGTCTCTGGTGGATATCCGACCTGGCCTCGCCGGACCAACTCTGGATTCTCCCAGTGACATATGGGACCCTAGCGACCTTGAGTGTGTGGCTTAGGGTGAGGGATGCTGCCAAACAACGGCCAGAAGTTAGCTATTCGAATAGCGACGACGCGAGATTAAGGGTTCTCGCTGCAAAATTCAACAGGGTTTTGTCCTATGTCATGACAGCCCTGCCTTCCGTCTTTACGTATCTCATTATCAGGAGTGACCTGTCCACAGCTGTGGTGCTGTATCTCATCGGGACCACGACGACGCAACTTGTGCAGCGGCCTCTCCTCGCCAGCGTCCTGGGGACCACCAAGCTCGTTCCACCTCTGAGAGCAAAACAAGCGAAAGCCAAAGGACAAGTGGAGGCATGAATGATACCCTCGTGATTGTATTTTGGAAAGCAGGAATAGAATTCTTCAATGATGGGAGTTTTGTACAGGATAAGAGAGGATATGGTTTCAGCGTACAATCCCTACACCTCACCTTACGCCGCCAGCTACGTCTTTGGGAGGAGATATCCCTCGATCTGAGGTTGGGATATAGCAACACAGTGTCGGACTAGACGGCATTGGCGGTAAACGAAAAGTATGTTCCTTGATAGATCAATGGTGATCTTGTTTAGAAGGTAATTATGTCTCCATACCTTCGACTCGGCGGGCGTTTGTGTCCCTGTATATCTATATACGTAGACCGATTTCGTGTTACTCTCCCTCTCTCTCCCTCTCGTACAGTAACCTAAAAAATCACATGGTGTACGTGTACAAATATGCAGAATATACTAGTTTTCAAGTCGTGTCAATTTTGTTGTCAACCCCGGCTTCGGGCGCACACGCCCGGCATCTACGAGACAACAAATATCTAGACAGGCCCTAACGCGTGACGCCAAAGGCTCCCATACTAAAACAGGTGTGTAGAGAGGGAAGTCTTCAATTCGCTGCTCATCGCACCCCCCATTCCCATGGACCAGCGGGGTGATTCCCTGCCATCAAAGCACTATATCAAGCAGGCAATGTGCTGTGGTGAAGGATACATCAGCACCACAACCTCTTTTCGCCTGACCGCCCATCGTATATTGGTAGTCATGAAAAGGAACACCAAACCAGATCCCAAAGACCCTTGCTGGCGCAAGCATCTAAATGATAACGGGTTGCCCGATGTGGTCTTGGCTTGTTTAAACTTCTCTTTCCGAAAGAGCATTTTCGTTTCATAGCTTCGCCTTCAATTGCCCGTCCTCAATCTTTTGTGTCTGTCGTGCCGTTGCTTCGTCGTTGATCACAACCTTGCCATCGGCTTCACCAGCCTCACCGAAGAATATGACCTGGACGGTCAAGTCATCCCTGTATCGTCGGCTGTAAGGGCTCGGTAACGTGAGCAGCGCGCACACCATGTCTTTGTCTTTCCCACCCAACGCGTTCCGAATGAGGTGAGTTGCACAGTTCTTGTCCTCAACCACGAAGCGATTAGAGGTGGAAGGGGGTGAAGCAGGAATGTCCCATTGTTGCTGTCGGATGGGCTTCTCCACGTTGTTGGTGTTGGAGATTTTGCCATCCTTTGCGTCCTTCTGGCTAGAGGAGGTGTCGATGCGGCCAGTCTTGTCCATATTTCCCCCTTTCTCAACTGGTAGCCCACTGGGCGTTGATTTGAACCAACTCGTCAACCAAGCACCAGTATTCGTCCCCGAGGATCCCTTGCTACTGGCAAGTTTGTTTTGATGTTCGATCCATTGACCCACGAGCCCAACAACTTCTTCGTTGGTCAGCATCTCCCATAGCCCGTCCGTGGCCATCACCAGAAAATCACCGTCAGAGGGGTTGATCTTTGTGCTCGTCACCACAGGCTCTGCAGTGACATAGGGTGGAGTTTTCAGCAACTGATGCGGTGTCCTTCCAAAGAAGTGCTTCTTGATCCGATCCTGCGTCTCTCGCGACCATTTATAAAATGCATCCCCGAATGCGCGAGTCGGTTCCAGATTGCCCAAGACTCGTCCAGCTCGAATAACGTAGTCCTCGCCTGGATGTTCGGCGCGCATGCGTGCTTCTTCGTTGGGATTGGAGCCGGTCTGGTCTTCTGAGAGTGGCGTGGCAAACCACTTACCCGTTTGCGGGTTGCGACGGCCAAGCACGGCGCGGGAATCCCCAGTGCATGCGACGCGGAGGGTCTTGGACTGCGAGTCGTAGAAGGACAGCAGTGCGCAGGAGCCTGATAGAGCAGGTGCAAGTATTTCGGCAGCAAGCCGTTTGCTAGGGGTTTTGCTGAGTTTATTGACACTGTCCAAACAGATTTCGTTGTCCAGCTTGACGAAGGCGGATTTGAGGGCTTGGTCAATAGCTGCGGGTGATGGAAAGGGGGACTTTGCGTCTGAAAGAGCCGCCTTGTAGGTGCGATTAAGTTCGCGGGCGGCGAAAGAGATCAAGACCTGCCGCAGTTTGGCAGAGGTAGTCCATCCGGAATGACCGTCGAAAACACCCCAGAACATCCAATCCGATGATGCTGAGCCGTCTGTGGCAGCGACTGTATTCGGAACTTCGACGATCTTCTCTGCATGGTCATCCTCTATTGGGTCGTTGCTGGGAAGCTGGACCATATCATATCTCACCACACCCCGTCCTCTGCCGACGAGGAATGATTGTTCATTCTTGCGTAATCTTTCTGTGGCTTGCTCAGGGGTCATCATCTCTAAGACCTTCCTGCCGTAGTCATCTGTGTCCTTGGCCAAAGGACCGTCCCCCACGATGGACCCGGTGAAGAATTGATCGTTGTCAACTACCAATGCCTTCCGATATTGTTCGGGACCTGCAGTCACTGACGCAGGGTCAGCAGCTTCTGCAGAAGACTGTGGAGTATCTGCTGTGGTGCTCAGACCCCTGCTAGACTGTGGCGATACTGATAATGGTTGGGTTTTGAGAAGATGCTCTGGCCCATCACCTCTGTAAGCATACCAGGCTCCGATTGCTCCCAGAGAACCAACGAATAGGATTGGTATCTTGGGTATACGCATAGAGGACTGGAACGGTACTCGAGACGTACTGTATCTGCGGACGAGGGAGGCTGAGTGAACGTTGGCCGAGGCTACGACATGGTTCGGAGGCGCAAAGGGGGACGATTTGGAGACGAGCTTCCGAGAGGCAGAGCGTCGGGCCGAGCGAAGGGCGAAAAGGGCAGCGCGACGCATTGGAGACGACGGAGGTCAAGGAGGTGAGGAAGAAGATGAGGATGAAAGCATCTAGGGAGGGCGAAAAGGACAAGAAAGGCAAGGCGAAGGCGATGGCGACGGTGACACTGACACGGACACCGGAGCAGATACTCAATTTATTCGCCTACAAAAGTCGATGAGGCTGGAGGCTGTTGGATGCGCATCACGCAGATCTAAATTGAACCAATCGGAGATTTAATTCTCCTGCTCCGCTTGGGTGCCTCGTAAACGTCACCTGCCGCATCAACTGCGGCGGAATTTCTTTGCAGTCGCATATCTGCCTATCCATCACCCCTCACATTCGCCGCTATATTCTCTGCTGTCGAAATTCGCAGGAACCGGTAATATGTCTTCGCGAGCCCTCCGCAAACTACAGCGGGAGCAGGAGTTGCAGAGACAGGTTGAGGCTGCTAAAAAGGCATACGAGGAAGCGGAAGAGTCAGAAGAGGACGATGATATCCCGGAGCCACCCTCCCGGCCTATGAATGCTTTTGACATGCTGGAGGATATTGAGGATGCAGGTGATTCTGACGAACATGAATACGAGGCTATAAGACGCGCAGATGCTACAGAAACCCCCGACACCAAGCCATCCCAAGATTCAATATCAACACCCCCTACCAAGTCGAAGAAGAAAAAGAAGAAATCCAAGAAGAAAGGCAAGGCCAAAGAAGAAGCACAGAAAGACCAGGAGGAGCAATCTGGCGACGAAATTGACCGGGCACTGAAAGAGTTGGCTGCAAAAGAAGGACGAGCACAGGCGGCGTCTGCTATGAAACAAGAAACACCTACCTTTGAGACGAGAGCCACCAGGCTTCTGGGCATAGATTCGCACAACCTCAATCCTGTCAACGAAATGAAAAGCCTTTTTGGGAGCATTGCACTTGAAGGGCAAGAGTCTCGCTCGGCGCCTCGAGCACCACGCCGTCGAGAACAGAACCAGCAGGGTGGCGTTGATCTTGCGACTGCACTTACGGGGAGATATTGTGCAGCGAGCAAGGGAAAAGAGCTAGGATCTCTCGCACACCGGCGGAATGTCTTTGTCCAGGGCAAAGAAGAGTGGCCCTTGGCCACGAGTGGAGGATTGAGCATGGAATTGGTCAAATCAGACTCTGATTCGAGGGATTCCTCCGAGAAGCGATATAACATCATACACCAAAACGCCTATCGCGAGACTCAGGTTTATTTCTGCATGGCTGTCGAATCAATGGATCCTCAAAGAATGATCGGCATGTTATCCATGTACCCTTACCATGTTGCAACTCTCCTCCAAGTCTCGGAAATCGCGAAACACCAGGGCGACAACGCTGTCTCGGGAGATCTTGTTGAACGTGCGTTGTTCTCGTTTGGCAGATCGGCACACAGCACCTTTCCAGCCTCTCTGAGAAGCGGCATTGCTCGTGTGCCATTCAACGACCCGGCCAACCGAGAACTATATCTCGCAATCTGGCGATACATCAGAAATCTCGAGATGCGGGGGACGTGGCGGACAGCGTTTGAATGGTCTAAGGTCCTTCTTCAGCTCAATCCGCTGACGGATCCCTATGGAGTCACCCTTATGATCGATCAACTTGCCTTGAGAGGCCGACAACACGCTCATCTTATTGCGCTCTGCTCGGACGATGCATATGGACAAGCGTGGGATTTTCTGCCCAATATTCAAATTTCTCTGGCACTCGCCTATCAACGGTCCGGCAATCCACGTGAGGCGCGTACTCGTCTCGCCGTTGCAATGCACAAATACCCTTACATCTTATCTGCTCTGGCTTCGACACTCGACATCTCGCCGCTACCCAAGTCCCTCTGGGCGAAGTTACCATCCACTGACGCTGAAAAGCTCTACACTCAACTTTACGTCACTCGTGCAAAGGACCTGTGGAACACCCCCGAAACTATCAGCCTCCTCGCCGAGGTAGCGGAAACCCTTTCTCACTACAGCGACGCGATCTCGGCCGCTCCAAAGGCGCCGAAGCTGGAGATTTCACTCGAAGAAGCCAGGCATATCATGCTCCTCGAAATCCCGTCGTTGATCGCCCTCCTCCCACGTCGGTTTACGACTATGCGTACTTCGTCATCCGATGTCCTCCCTCCCCCAGACTCCTTGTCTGACTATGTCGTTCGAGCACCGGGCCTTGGTCGTTCGCGAGGGGCTGATGGAACTATGCAAACTATCTTCAA